AGGAGGTGGCCGTTGTTTTCGTTGGGGAACAGAGTATAGTCCATGTCATGCATCCAGCTTCCTGATGTATTGACTTCGTCCGTGCTGTAGAAGATATCCTCATCGATGCCGTTGCTCGCACGTAGGAAGTCTTTGTAGTCATCAGGAAGCTTTCCGTCAGGGAGCGCGACGAACGAATGCTCGTCGGGTGAGGAGAGGCGTTTTTCGAGGGCGGCAATTTGAGCTTCGGTTGCGCCGTCCTTGAGAACAGTGGGTATTGTATCTTCACCGCTATCTTCGCGTTCGGTGAGGATGTTTTTGTCAACCATCTTTACAAGTTCGGCCATCGTTTTGGATCGATACGGTCGAGCGGGGCCTTCGGTAGAACGCTTCTCGATGAGGGCGCAACCTTCTTTGACATATTCATCCACGTCAGATGCACGCACACCGAATGTATCCCCGAGCATAACAGACGCGAGAACGGGCCAGATGCCTGGGCAATCCTTCAAGCCTTGGCGACGAAAGATGTAGTGCCTGGTCTCGTCACCGCTTCTATCTGGGTTGTCCCAATTATCCAGCAAGTACTGATATAGTTCTTTCATGTTATCTTCGACCAGACTGGTAGCTAGACGATGTTCGTCCGCAAGTAACGCAACCTGTGTCACCGCACCGAGCGTCATGGTTTCCCCGGCATGCCTGTAGGTAGCATCCGGCTTCGTATTAAGGCGCTCGCGTACGGTTTCCACATCTTCTTTACTGAGCGTCCTTTCCTCAGCTTTCGTTGCGATGTCGTTCGGCAAACCCGCGGTGCTGATGCTATCCGCATCCGCGTCGTCTGCTCTGCGGGCCCATGTTGGGAAAGTGTCGCTAGCTGTCCATGCTCCTTGCAACTGCTCTTCGGTAGTGTGACCGTAGTAGTCCCAGGTTGTTGTGTCAAGACCGTACTTATGGATTGACTCGAGAAGTTTGTTGGCTTGGTGGGGAAATCCAAGAACGAACAGGTCCAGAGCTGCGTGCTGCGCTATCCTCGACGAGTTCAAATGCATGCGACAAGTAAGAATGGAGGTCTTGGACCAGGGTATGAGAGGCAGGGCGCGTGCCATGATGTCGAAAGCGGCGTCCTAGGTGCTGCTGTGGGAGAGGATGAAGTGGCATTTTAGACCTGGGTTACGTGTTTGAAGACCTTTGAAGCTGCTAGCCGTAGATGTCACTATGTGCCGGTATCGTGGTGTTTTGAGATTAGCTGCCAGGCTGCAGGCAGCATCTGAGGTGCGATGACATCATGCCTGAACTAGCCAAGGCAGCACGGGAATCCTACCAGCATGACAGCGTCTGTTACAACGCGATGCCATGCAACGATTGAACCCGTACTCATGCCATTGCTATGACAGCCATCCTAGAAGCCTTCAACGCGACGGGCCATGTCGTCAGGTGGCATCCACGGATACTCGGCCTCGGGGGACTCTGGAAGGTACCCCGAGATGCGCAAGCGAGCCTCGCGCGGTCTAGACGATGTGCGCAGATCCGTAGAACTAATGCCAGGGACGTGTAGGCGACACTACTAGTCGTATGAGTGAGGTCGAAAGGAACGAACATTGTCGCTGCGTCCTCCGTCAACGAAGCCACCGGATTGTGGCACAGCCGCGCGATTTAATCAACTGCCGCCTGGGCAAAGTGTGCCAATGTCGGAGGTTCCGTCGATCCTGCAGAATTGAGGTTTCCGCTCGCGTAGACATTACAGTTTTTCGTACGGAAAAGCGTCGCCACACATCACATGACGTGCTGAGAAATCAGGGTCAGCTCTGGCTGGCTCCAAAACTTCGGCCCGTGGAGGTGGCGCGGCGGCTCTTGTGGATCTGGTGGGGTCGGTCTTAGGGTCCGATCCACAACTCAACAGCGTTGGATTCGTCCGTTCGCCATGCTTTCATAAACCTTGAACTACTCAATCTTGACCGGTCTTCAATCAAGTGTAATGGCGACCATGCAATCGCTGAAAGACAGTCGCGCAACCACGTCCTGTACTGAGTGTCAACGGAGGAAGCAGAAGGTGACGACACTCCACAATGGCCCTGCATCTACCCCTTGAACTAATGACGCGGCTAGTGCTCGCGAGAATGGCCCTGCAATCACTGTCAGGCACGAAAAGTACCCCATCTTTGTCAATTCTCTGTCAAAAGAGGGCAGCAGGAGCCTTCTCCAGAGTCGTCCCGGTATGTAGATCGTCCTGCCTACCCCGCCATTAGCGGAACGCGGTAGTAACAGCGATTCTGCAGTGAAAATTCGGCCTCCAGCATCAAAGGCACAAAACGAAGCGCTCCTGACTCTGCAGAGCCGCAATTTTTGTCGCAGGATGGCGAGCAAGAAGAGCTTGAGGATGGGCTGAAAGCGTGGGGGTACATGCCTGGTCATGTGCACTACAAAGTAGGCGGGGTGGAGGAGGTAAGAGCATCTCTCAAAACTTTGATATCCACTAACACGTTCAAGAACGGTCCGCGGAAAGACTCGCCGACAGAGAGCTCCGTTACCACGGATGTTCTCGAGAAAGTCCTGTCAGCCGTTCCGCCAAGATCAATAACGGGTAGGCACAAACACCGCGAGATCTTAACGATCCAATCTCTAACCATGAGCAGATGCGTTCGTTAACCACTTCCTCAACGTCGTCAACTACCGCTACACTGCAATATACGGGCCAACATTAGCCGAACAGTATGTCCAGTGGTGGGCAGATCGCGGTGCCGGCAAGCAACTTTCTCCAGAATTTACCTGCCTGCTCCTGAGGATATGCGCGTACTCAGTGCAGTACCTCACACCCGCACTCCGCAAGATGATCGAGTTTGAGTTGGCTTGCAACTGCCAGACTCTGACAGACCGTTTCTCCGACGCGGCGGAAGAGCTAAGCCGGAGTTTTGGAGCAGCGAGAACGAGCGTTGAACGCGTGCAAGAGCTATTTCTGAAGTGCGTTTGGTTGAAGGCCGAGTCCAAGATCGTAGAGTCGTGGCATGCGCTTTCGCGCACAATCCGGGAAGCGCAAGAACTGGGCATCGATAAGGATGGAGGTATCGAAGGCTTGTGTGAGTTCGACATAGAGATCAGGAGACGTCTCTGGACATTGCTGTACATCTGGGATTGGTAAGTACAAACCTACGCATTGTAGAAGCATAGCCTGACTCTCGCGCAGGCAAATGTCAGCATGGCTCGGCCGTCCAAACCTCATCGACCAAAAGAATCTCGACTTCAAGTTCCCCAATCTACGCCTCGACAAGTCGACCACGGAGCCAAACCTACTATCACCCTTCGCACACATCGCCCTTCAAGCAACCCTCGGCCGTAGGATCGCCGCTACCATGGGGAATGCTCAATCTGAACACGCCCTCTCGGACAAGCAGGTCTTGGCGATAGAAGCGGAATGCGAAAAGTTCATCGAGGAGCTACCCCCGATTTTCCGCTTCACAGACCCCGACACGTCATTCGATGAGTCCCATCCTTTCTTCGTGTTCCAGCGCTGTCAGCTACATTGCGTCATCTTCGTGACGATGCTGAACTTCTTCAAGCCCTACCTGACCCGAGAACGGCGGGACGCGATAGCCGACCAGGACGACGAGTTCCGGAAGAAAGGCGTAGACATCGCGTTGCGACTTCTGAAAGTAGCGCGCCAGCTCTTCGACCACGAGTTCCCCATCAACGCGAAGTTCCATATGGTTGTTTTTGCGATCTTCGACACGGCGACTTTACTCTGCTCGGCAATTATACACGACCGCGAGCACCTCCTACCTCATCGCGAAGAGATTGTGGATGCCATTGAGAGCTCGCTGGATACGCTGCATCAACTCAGCGGGACGACGAAACTAGGCGCTACATCGTACAACTTCCTCTTCAAGCTCGTGCAGGCCACACCGGAGCTTTCGCGGTACTCATCCGCCAGTAAGCGGCAACGACAGACTTCTTCTTCGGTACCTACAACGACACCGCCGGTGCCGGCGCATGAGCCTGCGCCTGTAGCGGTGATGCCGCCCGTGAAGAACACAGCGCCGCCGGAGCCCACTGCTGCGCCGATGGTTTCGACTGCGGCCGATCTTCCATCAATGACGATCTCAGATGAGCTGTCCTTCGATATCGATCAATTTCTCGCCCAAAATCCCTTTGGCACAGTCGGTGATCCAGCTGCCGTCGATATGGGTGGTATGGAGCAGATTTGGGATTGGCAGGATTTGCATATAGATGTTTACGCGCAGGGAGAGCCGGATGGGTGGAACGCTACTGGCGATGGTTCTTGATCATGCTCGGATCGTAATCTTGTCAGCGCTGTGTACCCCTTCCAGCACTATCTCGAGCACGAAGCCACCGCTTCTCCAGGGAGTGAAGAAGGGACCGGATTATCAGATCTGGGATAGGTGGTCAACGAGTCGGTAGCCTCTGGATCCTGTGTGCGACTGCCGCAGTCGCAAGGTTGGGTTTAACTCGGTGGTAGACGAGTATGCACCCAGCGGTATTGGCCATCGGACTTTGATAGCCAGCGATGCTGCGCTCGCATGTAGTGCAATCCGCGTCGTGTGCCTGGTACTCGGGCTATTTTTCTACGTTCACATAGTTTAGCTCTTTGACGTACATCTAAGCATATAGTAATATCATACCATAGTCTTACTCACGCTGGCGCTCGAAATCACCTCGCCCCCGATGCGATGTCTAAACCATGCGACTGCGATTGCGAAATGCTAGGGTTCGGCATACAAAATGTGTCAACACAAGGCTTTCAGAAAAGGGCGGACGGGGCTGAAGTTAAGTGTCGCAGGGTGGCTCAACCCCGAAAACCTTCGGAGGCCCTAAGGCGCCGCGAACATCGTCATGTGTGGCTGTGCAGGGAGACAAGCTTTTGTTTAGCAGATTCGTTTTTTTACACGTGGTGAGGGAAAAGCAATGATGTTATTGCTGCTATACCCAGTGCAAGCCACCATGCTTAACCGATGGTCTCACTGATCCCTCAACACCATGTCAACAATCGACCAGACGTCATACTCATCCGATCAGAACGGGGCTGATTTGCAACTCAGCTTCCTCGCTTTCCTTGCCGACGCTGCCTCCAGCTCAGCGGCCTTGCGCTTCTCCGTGGGCTTCCTGACGCGCTTCGGGCGTTGGGGCTCGTCCGTTCCCAAAGCACTAGGGGATTCCATGACTTCCTCCTTCGTGACTGGCTTGGCCGATAGTCTCAGGACCAAACGCGGATGTTTGGCACGTCGTTCAGGCGTCGTGGGAGGCATGGTCGGAGGTGGCGGTACCCCTCCGACACCGTGGTCTCGTTCATTCGATGCCGGTGTAACAGCCCGACTCTCCGTTGCGAGAGGAGTAGCTCTCAGATCCTCCAGTCCGATCTCCGCCGTGGAAGTCGAACGCGGTGTGTCGAAATACAAAACCTCCGGTTCTTGCCCTTGAACGCGTACCGCGGCGAAGCTATTTTCCGTGCGCTTTTTCCACTCGCTCAATCCCATCAAGACCTTGGCCTGACTGCCTAGCTCTTTGCACTGCTTCAATGAAAGCCCCAGGAGTTCGTTATGTTTGTTGGAGAGAGCTTGGTGGTCCCTACGCAGCATATCGTATGATGAGGCGAGCATGTCGAGCTGCTCCTCTAGGTCAAGAAAAGACTGTGCGCTGCTGATCTGTAGGTTGTCGAGTTCTTGTCGGAGGGCGCGAATGCTTGATTTAGGGTCTATCGAAGACATCCGACGGCTTCCGTGGTCTTGGTCATCGTAGACTGTGGGTGGTGTGTTGTAACGGAGACGGACAATGCTACATGATGTCAGCAGGCCACTTCCCTGATCTGGACGTTCTCAACAACGTACTAATCCGCGTCATCAGAGAAGTATTGACGGCAGCTCTCCGTCACGGACTGTTCACTGTTCGATGGAGATTCGTATCCGATGATGGGGAATTTCTTGTCACCCGTGATGTATGGCTGCCAGTCGCTATCGCTATCGGACCGCTCACACATGGAGGACAAGTCAATGACATCGTGTCGACACACCTCTTGGTCACAGTAGTGATCATTGCGGGCTGCTGGCCATTTGGGTATAGTTGCGACCGATCGCGACGCTGCAAAACGTTTCCGTTCATCAAGTAGCTTGTAGAAGGCTTCCACGGTTTCAGCGCTGTTCTTACTGACGAGGGGTTCGGCGCCGGACATGTTGCTAGCTGATAGCAACAGATGATAGAAATGATGGTCGTGCTATTGATGAGTGGTGTTTATGGCACTGTTGATGGAAGATGCTGGTGTATGTCACTCGAAGGAAGGCTGACCCATGACAGAGCGGATCATTGACGAGGGCTACTACCTCGTCCAATCTGACACGATGTTCGTCGTTGCCATTTGTGATGAAAACGCATCTCTTCTCGAAGCAGCCTCGACGCAAGGCTGGAGCAGTTGGCGTGAGGAGGAATGGAAAGATCGAATCAAACCTTATGTATCTTGGTAAGGCTGATACTAGGAAGATGCCGACAACAGGCGCAGGGTGCGCAAACGTTTCTCAGCAACATGCATGCCGTCCTGCAGCTTTGCCTGTGGTGTCGCTCGAAAGATGCAGTCGGTGCCAGATTCAGGCGAAACATGGTGGGAAGAACCGAAAGATTCTTGATCTTGCTCTCGCCAAGTAATGTGGTACGTAGGTTACATTCGGGTAACACTACAGTACCGAGGCGATACGAGGTCAACAGAAAGGCCCTGGATCCTTGAATCGAGCATGTCGCGTGACATTGCCCGTTGTCGTTACGACTTGCTTTGGGGCAGGCCCACCTTCGCGCCTACTCGGCACGTGCTGCCAGGGAAAGTGTTGCATTCGGAGGAGACCGGTGAACTTACTGCAGTGGTTGGCAGGTGTGGAGCCGGGCAAGGATCCAACAACCTGCCACAGTGAACGGCAGATTTCTCGTTGCAATTCGAGCGTTTCGGTCTCGGTCTTTCCAGTAGATTAGCAGTGGCAGGCCGCGCATTCAGGGCATGTCGATCTCCCATCGATGTTGGGGTCGAAGGCATCCCGCGCGTTCTGGGAGTGATATCTCTGGGACGTCATGCCTGATCCGGGCATTCAACGAGAACACTCGAGCCACCCCGCTTACTGTCGGTGTGATTAACGTCTGGCGATAATTTGAGGCCGGTCTTCTTAGCCATTTCGCGTGTGCGAAGCCTGCGAAAGTAAACGTAATCGGCACGTCTTTAGTCTAGTAGCGTTTCGGCACGCGGCAAAATTCGTCGGGTCCGCCACAAGCGAACAGCCTCGCGTCGAGAGGTCAACGTCGCAGTAGCAACGACGATCTGTGCTGGTAGCCATCACTGTCAACCGATGCACCTGGTCAGTGAACTGTTGTGTTCATCGAGGGCTCAGCGTGTAAGGTTCTGTCACTGCGCTCATCGGGCGCGCTGCTGCAGGCGCACCCACGCACAAGAAGAGAGACTGCAAAGCTTACCAGACCGATGGTATTAGCTAAGGCCAAGCCTAATAGGATCGAGCGAACCACAGAGGCGACGTGGGATGATCTTTGCAGTGAACGGCAGAGGAACGTGATGGGGTCTGATGCTTGGTCCACCAAGCACTACGTCACGGCGCGCCTTAATGCCGCTACCTTGGCGCACCGTACCAACGACTCCACACCATCTGTCCGTTCCAAAAGATTTTTTGACAGGGGCGGCGCCGGGGAGAGCTGGAGTATATGAGGGGCCATGACCCTCCTCCGGGACCGAGCTCGTGTAACTCTTGTCATCAATTTCCTGCGACCCTGCTGTCGCGGAAGCTTGCCATACCCAATATACAAGCTTTTCCAAGCCTCACAAGCCTTTAGCATCCTGCTTGGGTGAAGACGCCGTGACGGTTCGACACATAAACGACAACGCCACCAGATTACAGCGACATCGACGACTCGACGACCCTGGACAGCACTATCCCAATTGCGACTGCCCAATTATCGCACCCCTCTTTACCATTGCGCCAACCCCAAGCAACAACTCTACGCCCATCCTCCATCGCGGCACCACCACCATCATTACGCCAAGATGGTCCGAACTATGTTTGTGAATCCCTTCAAGGCCCATCATGTCGACGAATTCCCCGGCGTCCATGTGCCTCTTGATGACTCGACCCATCGCGCTTCTGTAGCTTCCACCCACCCACGCGCCTCCCTCGCTGCAACAGAGAAGACGACCAAAGACGACAAACCAGAAGATGGCCTCACGCGCCCTGACAGTAATGCATCTAGTGGTGTTGTTAACCATGGCTTGACAATCGCAGCATTGAAGGCAGAGATTGAAGCAGAGGTCGCTGCTTCGGATAACGACACGCCATATGACCGTACGTCGTGTGGCTTTTCCTATCACCTCCGGTAATTTTCACGAGGAAACAGTACTGATCTTCTACAGGCAAGTCCAAGGTTATCAACAAAGCCTTGCAAGATATGGGTATGGGCCGCTACCAGTGGCAGCTTTTTGCTCTTTGCGGTGGCGGTTGGATGGCCGACAACTTGTGGCTGCAGGTGCGCATATCAAATTCCTCATCAACCAACAGGACTTACCAAGATACAGGGTGTTGCTCTCACACTACCACAACTCAGCGTTGAGTTCGGTGTCAGCGAGACAGAAGTCAGATACACCACACTAGCGCTCTTCCTTGGTCTCTGCATTGGCGCTTCCTTCTGGGGTACCGCCTCTGATATTATCGGTCGCCGTCTCGCTTTCAACTTTACTCTTTTCCTCGCTGGTGTCTTTGGTCTTGCATCCGGCGGCGGGCCCAACTGGATCGGCACATGCGCACTCTACGCTTGTATCGGTCTTGGTGTCGGTGGTAACCTCCCAGTTGACGGCGCTTTGTTCCTCGAATTCCTGCCTCAAACATCGGGAAACCTCCTTACGCTCCTTTCCATCTTCTGGCCCGTCGGTAACCTGGTTGCCTCGCTCCGTAAGTTGATATCGCTAGCTATACTCATCATTTACTAACGACCTACAGTGGCATGGGCATTCATCCCCAACTTCTCATGCGCCGACGGTACTCCCATCGGACAATGCCGCATGGAAGACAACATGGGCTGGCGATACCTCATCCTAACTCTCGGCGCCATCACATTCTTCATGTTCATCTGCCGCTTCTTCCTCTTCCATCTTTACGAGTCACCCAAGTTCCTGTTGTCTCGCGGTCGCCAGGCTGAGGCTGTCGCCACCGTCTACGGTATTGCGCACTACAACAAGACGCACACCTGGCTCACCGAGGACATACTCAACCAAATTGGCGGCGACCAGGAAGTCACCGGAGAAGATGTCAAGCTCAGCGTCTTCGAAATCGTCAAGCGCTCCCTCAGCCGTTTCTCGATGAAGCGCTTCAGGACTCTCTTCCAGGACAAGAAGATTGGTCTTACTACCGCACTGCTTTGGTTCCAATGGTCGACTATCGGTATGGCCTACCCGCTGTTCAACGCTTTCCTGCCACAGTACCTGAAGAACTCGGGCGGCGGAGTCGAGAACGACATCAGCATCGTCTACCGCAACTACGCCATCACCGCCATCGTCGGAGTCCCCGGATCCATCCTCGCCTGCTACACCGTCGATCTCAAATACGTCGGCCGCAAGGGCACAATGGCCATCGCCACAGTCATCACCGGTGTTTTCGTCTTCCTCTTCACCATCTCTTCCGACTCCGACTTCCAGCTCGCGTTCACTTGTCTCGAGGCTTTCTTCCAGAACATCATGTACGGTGTCTTGTACGCGTACACACCTGAAGTGTTCCCCGCCCCGATCCGTGGCACTGGTACTGGAATGAGCAGTTTCTTGAACCGCGTTGCTGGTCTTTGTGCGCCCATTGTTGCTATTCAGGCGGGTGGAAGTAACCCCAAGGCGCCGATTTACGCCAGCGGTGGTCTATTCATCGCAGCGTTCTTTAGTATGTTGGTGTTGCCTATTGAGACGAGAGGCAAGCAGACTTTGTAGATGGTACGCTTTGAGTACTTGACGGCAGGACCGTATAGCGCAGTTGCATGATATGTAGCGCTAAGAAATGACAACTATCCATTTCATGTCAAATTATTCCACCTAGTGTCTCTCGCCGTGCCCTCTGACTAACCACCACATCCCCTCCACGTCTACACATCTTTATCCCCCAACTCACAGCCTCGCCCTCACCTCCCCCAGCCTCAAACCCCACCCCCTCAACCATCTCTCCACCAACTCCTCCGTAACATCTTCAACCTCTGGCAACATCTCCAGTGCATTTCTGTTATAGAAAACCAACGCCTCCCCTTCCCTACCCTCCCTACCCTCCATCAAAAACGCATGCATCTTGAACTTCTGCGGGTCCAACATACCCAACCACTGCGGCAGACTACACTCCCTAACTTCCAGTCCGAATCGCTCCACCAACACTTTCTGCAGCAGCACCCAAGGCGCAGGGCGGGGGTGCATCATGTTGTACACCTTGACATTGACTGCAGATGTGCTTGGTTGGGATAATGTGACATTGGCAATCCCCTCCGCCAACGAATCAACCGGAATCCAATCCACAGCATTCATCCTCACGGGCCAGTACCCCAGTTTTTGACTTGTCTTGACTATGACGTATAGCCAACCCTGGATCGGCCACTGCGGCGCATTGAGTATGGCGGATGATGCACCTCCGATCTGACCTGCGCGGACGATAGCGATGCGTAACCCGTGTTCTCGCCCTGCGCGCGCGAGAAGTTGCTCCGCGAGACATTTACTCTGGCCATACCCCGTGTTCGCTGCGCTGGCAAAGTCCCAGGCAGGGACTTCGGGGATGAGCGGGGTGGAAGGATGCTGGGTTGGGTGATTCATTATCGAAGTGTTGGACGACATGAAGGTTACGCGCGGGTTTAGGGGACTGGCGATACATGCAGTGATGACATGTTGAACAGCGTTGAGGAGGGGCAGGTAGCCAATGAGAGGCGTCGCCCAATTCGCGTTCCACGCATTGAACACGATTTCCGAAACGCTGGTCGTGAAATGTGTGTATTGGGTGGGGGATAGGCCGAGGCTGGGGAGTGTGATGTCGGTTGTTATGAAGGTGAGGCGGGTTAGGTCTTCGTTGCTGATGTGGGTGAGAGTCGAGGTGGTGCGTTGTTCTGCGTCTTTGCTACGGTTTAGGCAGAGGATGGTGGTGTGGGGATGCTTTTGGAGGAGAGAGGCGGTGATGTAGGGGCCTAGGAAGCCTGTGGAGCCAATGAGGGCGATGGTCTTTTGTGAGGTCATTGCTGGCTGTGAGGGTGTGGTGCTATCTTTGATTGGAATGAGGTTCTTGATATGTATAATCGGGGTGGTGAGAGTACTAAACAGTCGTCCATTGATACTATTACGCACGTGAGTAAGTGAAGGGTGAGGTTAGTACGTGATGTCAGGTACACGTCCGTTTGCACCTTATACTTCTAGACGGTGGTCAGGAAGTGAGGTCACATCCACGGGGGTGTTGAACATGCCGTGCAACACCCATTGGTGGGTAATAAAGGGGCGCCCTGCTGATAGTGATGTGAAGCCCGATACTCGTCCTCTCCAATGAACTGAATGCAAGATACATACTGGTCATCTACAATTGACATGACTTGCTGCCGAGTCCTCCGCGGATGCGTGCCAACTTCTCATGGAAGCGTAAGGGGCCCAACTATGGGTGGTAATGTGCGGTCAACTGCATACAATACACATTGATTGTACCGATTTGTGCAAAGGATGCCGCGGAATTACACCGATCGCGCGTGCCGTTACTGTAGCCTTGTGGTATTTTCCCTTTGCCCTCGGCTCGCGAAGAGCGTGGCTGGAAGGGCAGGCCACTGCTGAGTGATACACGGCAGGGCTCTGTGTGGCGTTGCTCCAACTGCGTGGTGGAGTCCTGACAGGCGTTGAGTATGGTGTTCCCCCATATCCACGATACGGCCTGCAAGGTCTAGATCTAGCGCGATAGTAATCAGACCAGGCTGAAGATTTAAACGCATAGAGCGTACGTTGCCATAGGCTAGGTACGAGTGAGGAAATAGTCTATCGTCGACGATCAGTTCACATCGCAGCATCTGCCGTTGTACAACATGCCAGTACCCGATACGCGACGGTTCGCATGAGCGGGTAATTGTGGGCGCAAGGGTGACCCAAGACTGAGGCACGGAAAAGGGAGGTTTGAGATATCCCTTTGGTCTGATGATGTAGCAATGCGGCTCCACAATCGCCACGCCCTGTAAGCCTCGACTCCTTACCTCTCCATACCACACGTTAACTACGCCCACCGCAACGGCTGCCGCTTCGGTCGGATGGAGTACTCCGCAGCGGCATACGACGATGGTGGTCAAAGGCCGTGAAGCATTCCCGCGCTTGCCATCGCCTTTCTTAAAGAAGAAGCTGCTCCGAGCTGCCCTCGACTGAGCGACCGTCTGCGCTATCGTAGACTTTCCCGTGCCCGCCATGCCGCTCAGCCAGGATGTAGACTTGCCGTCCTTGCTGTTCGTTCATGTTGTTGTCTCGTCTATCAGCTCGGTGCGGGTGTTCGATAGACATCGTGCAGTGTGCTCTTCGCAGTGGGAATCGCAGGAGGCGCCTGTCGCGAAAGGCAGTCTGGTTAGATCCAGCTTATGGTCATGTCCACGGGTTGAACACAACGACTCGGTATAGTCAGTGAGAAGCCAGGTCTACATGACATACCTGGGTACAGAAAGTTTCGCCCGATCGACCTGAAGGGCTAAACTAGACTTCGTCCATGATGCGAGGTCTTGAGAGAGGAGAAGCAGGCTGTTCGATCACGCTCCGGACCCGTGGACGTCGTGGGCAGACGGAGCAGCCAGGCCGCTGTCAGGCTGGGCGCAAAATACCACCCAAAACTATTACAATCGGATCACTCTCAGACGAGCCCGAACAAAACAAATGCTGTCAGACTGAAGGTAATGCTGCAATTCATGATTAGCTGCCCGAGGCTGAGCATTGCGCGCGGCCCGACTCCCGGACCGCGTCGGCAACATGTTTCGCCGAAGCCCGCTTGTGCGTCATCGAATCATGAGCGGAACACCATGCCAATGTCATCCTCCCATCGCGTGCATTGCGATATGTCTGTTTGAGCATACTGTTTATTCGCTAGATAAGAACACTACCACGACACCACTCGATGGCCTGTACACAGCAACTGAGAACGCCCATCAACCACCCGGAACGTTGCTTCCTGAAGAGCGTGGTCGCCCTACATGTGCGTATCCTCGCTGCGACGCGTTTGCTTCCGCACCCCAGCCTCCAGGCTCTAGAAAGCTACTCTGCTGCGACGATGGCATCAGCATTCTCTGGACGTCCTGGTTGAACCCGAACCCACGCACAGGCCTATCGCTGACATTGCCTGATCGTAAGGACACGTATTCCCCATGATCGCGACGCACTAGCGATCCAATGTGCAGCGCTTTGTTGGCACTAGTCATGAGCAGCTTCAGTGCTGGACCAGACTGCTGACAGTGCATCAGGTTCTGAAGCTGATCGACGACATCGAGGATTTCTCGATCCCAACCACGAAGCGGAGTTTCGAAATCAGATATTCCGTCTATGATGCAAATGATCGTCTTTGACTTATCCATGTTGCCCACGACCGACCCAAACAAATATACCAAAGCTCGCACGTTGTATTGCAACACTGCGTCGTAGAGACTCTGCTCCAATGGATCTAGCTCGATGTCCGGCGAGTCAGGATAAAGGAGTAGCTGGGTGATGAGGCTGCGTATAAGTCCTGAAGGTCCGCTGATCGTATCTTGCTCAACCCTGGTATGACTGCTGCAAAAGAAGCGCAGGATTATATTGGAGCTTGTCTGGACGAGCGTGGTTGCTAAAGAAGCACACAAGACGGACAACGGAGAGATCTTTCCGATACCATCGTCTTTGCAATATCCATCAACCAGGAGAATCCCGGAGAACGGCTGACTAAGCCAGTTCTTGAACTGCGCAGTCGTGAGCAGCCAACGCGCCTTGCCGAGGCCGTTAGGTCGTAAAGAGTTGCTCTGTCTCAATATATGCTCCGTTTCGCCGCTCAAGTATCCGAGGTCCACGCCGAGTGTCCACAGAAGCTCTTCTGTTGTCATCGAGATTGTCCGTTGGGTGAGACGTCGCTCCTTCGCGATGACCTCGGTTCTAACAGTTTGCTGGACAGGCTGCCCTGGAGATTGATGAGCTTGTGACTGGGTCCATAAATGTGGGCTCGGCTTACTTGATCGATACACCATTTCTGAGGCTAATAACTTGTACAGCTCAGTCTGAACCATAGCAGCAACCTCATTCTTGGATACCATCATCGACATGCAATCGCTTATTCTCAGGAACCCTTGCTTGTTGTCTTCTTTCATCTCTTTACATGTCTTCATCACGTTGGTCTGCACCAATGTGAGATGCTCATCCAGAACATCAACCTTACCGTCAAGAGAAGTGCCTTGCTCCAAGACTTCGTTTATACCTCGGTTGAGTGTCTTCGTTTCCCCATCGAGAAGCCTGACTCCATGCGATACTTTATGAACTTGAGCGCGCGTTGCGTGCAACTCAGTATCGATAGCGGAAGTCGTCTTGCGGATTTGCTGCAGGCTTTGTGCGCTGAGAATGTCGACTCTCATCGTCACCCCGGCCTTGGCGTTTTGGATGTTATGATTGAGTCCCTCCAACACGGCTGCTTCGTATTCCGGCAGCCGTGACTTTATACGGCGGAAGCCTATCGAAGCTGAGGGCTTGACGGTTTATATCAAATGGGGCAAAACTTACGTGAGTCTTCTTTGTGGCAACGAAGCAGCATCTCGATAAGCAATTTCAGGGAATCAACGATGATACCGTAAAGGTCCCACGTCTTCACTTTCAGTTCACTATCTCGAAATACCTCATACATCTCGGCTGTCCTCTTGAGAGTATCAACGACGTCTGCGAGTAGCTCTAGTATCTTCTCTCGGTTCTCGATGTGTTGTTCCCAGGCCTGGACAGACCGTCAGCTAATATAAGAAATCTCGATACGGAGTAATGATACCTGGAAGAAGAACGACAATCCTCCGCGTAAGATACCAAGGCCTTGTTCTTCTGGGATTATGGAGCAAAGAGAGTCGAGTGTCCTGGCATCTGCCTTGCCGCCTCGAATGAAGTTTCGAAAGGAACCTTTTGGAGCTTTGGCTTCGTACGCCGCGTTCGCAGCATCGATCTGATCGAAGACATCATCCCACGTACAATTCTCCGTTTTGCATCCAGGGAACAACGTACTGGCCTTGCTGAGAACAGTTTCAAGCTCGCTTTCCAAGCATGAGTTTCTCGTTCTTCGAGCGGTATGGTGCACCTGGGAAACTTACTTGCTCGGTATGGTCCTGAGTTCTCCACGCTGACTGTTGTATTGGGTGGGCACAGACAGTGTCGAGCGCAAAGCACCACCTGTGGTTCTCCTGAACAGCTGAAACCTTCTGATTTCGTGCTCGTCGTTCATCACCTCCTTCACATCTTTCGACGGCAAAGGATTCTTTGAAAGTTTATTCATTGTGGACCTGAATATTGCGGGTGTAGGGGCTTGAAACTCGGGGTAGTCGAATTCTCTTCTTCAGTCTGCTGCAAGCTGGAGATCGCACAGCTTCAGAGGGTAGCACACCAACTTGCTCAGCCCCACTGCAATATGCACCACCAAAGCAACCTTCGTGCAGCTACCCCAATATCGCCTTTCGACCTCCGGTAAAATGTAGATAGTAACGTAAATGTCGCACCTGCCATGTCAGCGCTGGATGGGGAAATCCAATCCGAAGGCTTGAGGCCAAATGAAGGGACAGATCTCAATGCGCGAGATGGGGGCGGGAGACTGCTGCAGAGCCAATCAGAGCAATACTGTTATCAGCTCGGTTTTCGGCATACGGGCTGTGTATACGCTGGATCTGGAAGCCTTTGAGAAAGGCGTGCTGACCCAAGGCTGACACCGATAAAGTGCGCTACTGGAAAAGGCAGCTGGGGGCCAAAACTTCGACAAGCTAAACGCCAAGGGCTTATTTTCGCGCAGCACATCGAATGATCGGAAATTCAGGTTCATCTCCGAAGGTGTGAAGACCGTCTCTTCAAGGAACAACTCACAGCTGCTATACTCGCTTAGCCTGACGAACGGCAGCAACTGCAATACCCAGGCTACAGGTATACACCTCAGCCAATCACCAATTTTCCCCGCACTACCTCCAATGCACATCGAACCTGATTTTCCTCGCTCAGCGTCTCCATGCAGCAGTTGGCTTATTGAATCA